TCCGCTAGAACATGGACAGAGACACCGCCATGATTCTTGTCTTTTGTGCATGACATTGTCCAGAGTAGTGTAGTGAGGCCCATAGTGGCCTTTCTTTTTCTTCTTTCCCCTTTTCTTTTCTTTTTGATTGCTTGTCTCTTGCAGTACAGTTGCCTTGAATCACAGTCTTCTTCTTCTTCTTCTTCTTCTTCTTCTTCTTCTTCTTTTTAAAAAAAAACAGCCCGACGTGGTGGTAGGGGTGGTGATAAGAGCAGACACCGCTACCACTCTCGGGGTGGCTCCATCTATTGGTGGGGAGCGGCACCTGCTGGAAACCGGGTCCAGCATCCCTGAACATCGTCTCTACTTGTTTTATGCAGAAATCTGAGTGTGGCACCTGCTGGAAACCAGGTCCAGCGTCCCTGAACCTCGTATCTACTTGTTTCATCCAGACATCTGAGTTTGGCGACTGCTAGTTGTATGGTTCATCCTCGAAGGAGGAAGGTTGCTCAACAGCCTAAGTTGGTTACTTGTATGACGACCATGACAACCATGGTTAGTTGGTAGTAACCCTAGTCCTATTACTGCTATCTCCCTTCAATCATGGTGTTATCAGTCTGCAATTGAGCCTTCTGTACCTCTACTCGCATCCTCTGAGCACTGGGGTTTTAGAGGTTTTTAGCCCAAACCCCAAGCTAGTTCAGCCCTTCTTTTGGGCCGCCTGTTACTATCCATAGTCCCTAGCAGTCCAGCTCCCCCCCTTTTTCATTCAGCCTTTTCCATCACTCTCCCCCATACCATGCTCGCCTACCAGACTGCCTTGAATCACAGTCATAATAACCTTTGTTTATCTTTTTCTTTTTCTTAATTCTTTTTGGTTTCCCCACCAATAGATGGAGCCTCCTCCGAGGAAGCTTGATGTGTCTGCTCCTACCAGCGCCTCAAGCTGATCCCGGGGTTGGTTAAATAAAATAAATAAAAAAAAAAAAAAAAAAAAAAAAAAAAAGAAAAGAAGACACGAGTGAGTTTGTTGTATCATCCATCGCAGTTGAGGAGGCATTTATTAAGGCGTGGTGGGTCAAGATGGGGTTACCACATAAGAAAAGGGCCTTCAATGCAGTCATAATGCCAACGAACCTAGCTCTCAGTCCGTACACCCACAAACTGTTGAAATACTTGATACTTGACCCAAGTTCGAATCGAGATGCAATCAGATGAACAGAATAAAAATCATTTTGACTTACCCGAGGCCGGTCAGGCCGGGTCAGTTCAATAATGATACCTGACGGCCATCGCCCTTTTTTTATATAAAAAAAAAGAGACGAATGCAGACTTTTAAAGTTTAAAGTTTAAACTCTTTTTCCCTTTTTTTTTTTTTTTTTTTTTTCCCTTTTTAGCACAACTCCCAGGGGTGATAGTACCGTGATACCCATTTTAGTGATAAGAGAACCCTCCTACAGTGGGCCCCGTTCATGGAGGCTCCTGTCTATTGGTGGGGAGCGTCACCTGCTGGAAAGCGGGTCAAGCGTCCCAATAACTTTACATGCATTACACGAACAAAAAAATGCTTATACACAGTTGTGGTCCTTGTCTGAACTGTTGCCCACTCCCCACTCTCTCCTATCCCCAAGCCCCTATCTTTCTGTGTGTTGCTAGGTCACCTATCTGTCTGCTATGTTGTAGGCTCCCTGGTCGTGCTACCTCCAGCAGCTCATGATGCATCCTCCGGGGACCACACTTGGATGGCAATCTGTAGACGAGGTAGGGGTTGGATAGTGGGGGCGGAGGAGGGGGGCGGGGGAGGGGGGTGGGAGAAGAATGCAGTCATAATGGACTCTGTTTCCCTTTTTCCTTTCTCTTCTTTTTCCTTTTTTTTTTTGTGGAGAAGGGAGGTGCAAATACGTTTCAGTCACGATCGAGTTTCCGATGGGCAAAGAAAACACGTACTGGCAGGTCAGTCACACACCGAATTCGAAAAGGCAATAAGAACACGGCAGGACTTTCCAAACAGGCGGCTGAGGTACTGGCAGGTCAGTCACACACCGAATTTGAAAAGGCAATAAGAACACGGCAGGACTTTCCAAACAGGTATGTGACAACCAATCTTGTATCGCTCTCTCTCTCTCTCTCTCTCTCTCTCTCTCTCTCTCTCTCTCTCTCTCTCTCTCTCTCTCTCTCTCTCTCTCTCTCNTCTCTCTCTCTCTCTCTCTCTCTCTCTCTCTCTCTCTCTCTCTCTCTCTCTCTCTCTCTCTCTCTCTCTCTCTCTCTCTGTGTGTGTGTCTCTGTATATATATAGGCTTACTCTCTCTTTCTCTCTCTCTCTGAATGTCTTCCTCTCATGTGGTGCCTTCCGTCTCACTCATTACTACTGGCTATGGCGCGCAGCACTGTCGACTACCACTACCACGTCTGCCAAATCCTATGCCTGAGCGCACAAGTCCATAATTCTGCGCCAGGCACTGAATCAGATGGAAATTGCGTTGACGTTTGCCTGCCTCCAGGAGGGCTTTTGTACTTGTCGCATTTCCCAATCTTAGACTTTGCCGCTGTCAAGGCCGTTCTCATTGCGGGCGTGATTGGCGTCCAACGCTTCCAGAGTTTTCACAGACTTCCCTGGCTGAGACTGAGCTGCAACAAAGTGACCGACTGGCAGGCCTAAGGACTGAGCTGCAACAGACTGACCGACCGGCAAGCCTAAACTACCAGGCCTTCCGGTTCCTAACGAGCTATGTACTGTGCAGACCTACGGGCCCACCAACTTATGGTACAGCCTAGACGTTTCCTACCGTCCTACCGTAAGGTCCTACCGGTTGGGGTTATAGTACGCGGGACACTGGGACTCGAAACTTGGACCGGAACTCTGAGATGCACGAAATCTGTTCACTTTTTAATTCTCAATTTAATGAATAATTTTGAAATGACACTCAGCGGCTCAGCCAGAGAACTGTTTGATTTGCAATTCTGCACAACATAGTTTTGCAGATTATTAAACATTATTTTGAATTGGTTTTCCTTTTCTTATTTGGTGCTGGTGCTGCCCGGGACCTTGCCCTGACCTGGGGCCCACCCTGGCATCCTGAGGCAGTCCAGGCGGCCCGGCTGTTCACCCAGGTTGTCAGTCTTGAATACTGCAGGCTCAGTGGCAAAGTTGGGACACCCCCTCCCAAAGGTTTAGTGCTTGTGCATGTCACCGCACACCACGTGCTTGCTCTTCACGAGGCAAATTCACAAGACAATGCGCACGGGATGCATATGCCAATTGTGGATTTACCTTACGCCCCTGTGTGAGCTGTGGGGCCACGCGGCCTTGGACATGTAAGAGTCATACAAAACCCTTTTTTTTTTCTTTTTTTTTTTAATACAAAACCCAATTGTCTCGGTAAGCCAAGTTCGATTCTCAGGGAAGCACTTATGCTTGATTCTTTGTCGACCCCGGGTAGGGTGTCTACGAAAGGGTCTACGAAAGACCCATGCACGAAGCTGTTGAAATATCCGGGAACCCATACGGTGAAAGATCGCAGAGCATTCAAATGCACAGTCACAGTCATACTTGGATGTCTAAGCATCTCAAACGACGCAAAGATCACAGTCACACTTGGGTGTGTCATCATCACACATGTCAACACCACACATCTTGATTGTTTGTTTTTTACCATTTAATTTAACGAGTAACCGGAAAAGTTGTTTTTTTTTCATTTATTTGCTTTTTCAAAAACAAGCCCGTGTGCAACGCCAGAAAAGTTGAAATTAGTCGGCGGCAGGACAAAGTAAAAAAAAAAAAAAAAGGCATGGCAGGCCTCAGCTGTGCCACATGCCACGCACTTCGTTTCTAGTGTATATGAACCTGCCACACAAAGGGAGGGAGAGGTATCTTGCTGGCGCCCTGCCACAGAACGAGAATGTTCCACGGAGAGAACAGTGGTCATGGTGTTGCACACGACCACGTCTTCAATAAACAGCTACTAAGAAGCTTTTCCTTATGGAATAGAGGACATTTACAGCTTATCCTTCAGAAGATGCACATCTTAAAAAATAATAATAATAATAATAAATAGTAATAATAATAATAATAATAATAATAATAATAATAATAATGATAATAATAATAATAATAAATCCTTCAGACAAGGAACAAAAGGTTGTAACTTTCCACTGCAATATATACAAAGGCTATGACAGGACAGAACAGAAAGATTGGGATTTTATTTTAATTTTATTTTTTTTCGATCCAAGGTTTGTCAGCTTTTGAGATGATGGCCCAGGGACAAGGCCGCACTTGGGGCGAGGATTAAGGGATATACTGGCCTTATATAACGAAGATGAACGGCCAATATGTGTTGAGCTGTGCAAGTAAGACCTCGCCCCAGGAGGAAAGGCTGGAGCAAGGGCTGGGAGGTGTTGGACCAGGAGAGCAGCCTGCAGTCGCTACAGCAATTGTGTAGGTGGAAACATTCTTGATTTATTTGTGTCATCCTTGCGCAGGGGCCATTTGCTAATTAGTAATTACCCTTCTCTGTGTCGTGTTTCCAATTTTTGTAATGGATGTCCCGAAGGACGTGCCACTGGAAACATTCCGAAAAGGTCAGTTGATGGAAAACTACATTGTCTTCTTTAAACCTAGAACGCTGCAAACCCTCGTTAGAACTTAGAGGCTGATTGGGTGACTGCACATCCAGGTTGGTGTGTAAGTAAGTTCAAGGGCAATGTTGAGACTGTGTAGACAGTGTAGGCAATGGGAGGAAGAGATTTGTTCAATTTTGTTGGTGAGCAATGGACGGAAAGTAATAGACTGAGAGACATCGAGGGGGGAAACGTGGTCCAAAGGAATGAGCAAAAAAGTCGAAAAATAAAAAAAGAGACACAGAGAGAGAGAGAGGGGGGGGAAACGTGGTCCAAAGGAATGAGCAAAAAAGTCAAAAAATCAAAAAAGAGACAAGAGCACACACAGAGAGAGAGAGAGAGAGAGAGAGAGAGAGAGAGAGAGAGAGAGAGAGAGAGAGAGAGAGAGAGAGAGAGCTTACACGGTATGCATTATCCTGAACATCGACATCGCTTCTCAGCAGAACTGGGAAACGAAACCCTGTACTTGGCTCGATAATCGATCCATCGCTGTTCACCTTACGAGTCAGTGGTGACCAATATATGTCTTTTGGGTCCTCCATGTCCCCTCTCCTGTTCTCCAGGATGGTCATTCTGCAAACGACAAAAGTTTTGCAGTGATAGGAGAAACAAACGACAAAATTGCAACAGCGAAAACTGCTAGGGTAAGAAATTCATTTCAAAGGTAGGCGAAACCGCCCAGAAACGGAAAAAGACACAAAGAACATAGGAGAAACAAAAACGGGCACGACTTTAGGAAGTACTGGTGGTTTAATAGGGACTGTGCTGACCTCTGAAGATGTTGCAGCCTCATGCGCACATCTTTGGCTTGCTTGTTTTAAACCTTGGTATCTGTGCGTTCTGAAAACTTGGTCCAGTTTTGCTTTTGTGCATCTTGTTGGTGAAATGTTTGTAATGAAGTACTTCCATGTGTGGTATACACTGGTATTGCTACTATTGTTGTGTGTTAGATCCTGTTTGTGTGGGCGATGATCTGTTGCGAAGTCTCACATACACCTCGCTAAGGGAGAGCAGATGCAGACCAAATCTTGCAACAGGTAAATGCCCTTACTTCATATCAGGCCCTGTCATCATCTGCCCATAGAGAGGGAATATCACCTGCGGAATGGCAAGGAACTTGCTGAATGCCGGATTGTGATGACCCAGCTGAGATTCGGTTAGAGCATGTGATTGGCATGCTCTGTGTCGTGAGGGTTATGAAGGTATAGCCCATGGAAGTCTTTTGTTCTCATATGACATATGTATTATGACAGGCAATATTGTACTCGTGCGACACCCTGACATTATACTATGTCTTATCCATAGACAGGAGCTGGAACGGCAATGTCTATGCAATCGCGGTAGGTGTGCCTCTGTTTTCCTAGCATTTGGGTGCACGTTGCCTGTGACATCTCTTCACACCGTGCCACTTGATGCAGCAACGGAAACTGCAAGAATTGGATGCAGTGCTTCCCGAGCCCACAACCAAACCAGTCCTGTCCAGTCTACAGGAGTGGCCACTGACCATAGGCATCGTCTGCTCCTCAAGTCATTTTTGTCTGCAACCCAAATACTAACTGGCCTCTTGTGCCATTCTGAAGCAGTCTGCACTGCCGTTAAGTACTGAGACCACTGTGAGCTTCTTTTTTTTTTGTTTTTTTTTTTCAGAAGAAAAATCAGGAAAGTATCTGGAAAACACCGGAAGTTCATCTTCCCTGTCTCTTCTGTTTCTTCCTTCCTCCATATCCCTCCCCTTCCCCTTCTCCCTCCTCCCTCCCCTCGTGCAGAACCACTAAATGCATACGAATGAGCATCACACCCGTACCTCTACCAGTGTGCGGCCGCGGGCGTTCACGTTAACGCGCCGCGACTTTTGGGGGCTTCGCGGCCGCACAAATTTTTCGTCTGCGGCCAACGTTGTGGTGCGGGCCTCCGAAAATCGCGGAGAGGACCCCACGGTCGCACAACCGGTAGGCATTGGAGGTTTAAGAGAACAGCTAAATATAAGGTGGAGGTGTGCTGAAAAGCAAACAGGAATGTATGCATTCCCTGCTTTGGCTCCCGCCTGTGGTGGGGTGCGCCCGCCAGGAAGAGCTTCCAAGCGGTCTCATCAGAAAGGCATGCGCAGAGCTTCCAAGCGCTGGCACATACCATTTGCCTCTTCGAGATCGCGGCGGACATGAAAGTAAACTGGGGAACCAAAACGGAAGGCTGGTGGCTCCACTGTCACGACGCCCAACCACCGTTGGATCCCCCGATGGTGTGGAGAGAAAAGAACGCGGCCATCAGAGTCCTAGGGATCAACCTCATGGCTCTTGGCCCGCCGTCGAACCATGGGGATGCACTAATGGACCTCGCCATACAACGCATGTCACGATGGGACTCTAAACCGACTTCCCTGGTCGGCCGGGCTCTTGCAATCAAGAACTCCATTTTTGCCTCCATTTGGTACAAAGTAGCCTTTTGGCCGCTAACCGAAAAACAACTCACGAAACTGAGACAAGTGGTCGCTGCCTATCCCTCGAAAAACGATCACAGTGACACCCGCTGCATAAAGCGCCTACATTGGGAGGTGCTTGTCCAACCAAGGAGTAGAGGGGGGCTGGGTATTATCGACCCGGGCAAGGAAATTAAGGCGCTGCTGATCAAGTTCCTCATTAGAATACTCCTCAGCAATGACATCCTATGGGCTCCTTACGCACTAATACAGATTGCTTGCCTTGCCCCATCCGACTCTACTGGCTAACCAACCCGACCTGGACAATTCCAGCTTGCCCCCGTGTGTACTCGGACCGATCCCCGGCAGGCCAAGCAAGATGGGACCTACGTACAGACCCCATGTGGCCAGCAATGTTGCGCCTTTGGAGGGACCATGGCCCGAAACGAACGCCGGTGCCGCTCCGATGGCACGAAATCAGAAGGCAACCCTTATTCGGCCATCCCCAACTCCTGGACCACACGGGGTTTCCCTTCTCCCTTAACCGCAAGTTCAAATGGCTGCAATGGGCCAAGAAGGGCATCTACACAATCGGGGACCTGTGGAATGATAGCACAAAAGCCTGGAGGCTGGAACTCATGCGAAGCAATTCGAACCAGGTTGGGATCGTCTCCCAACCTGGAGCAAGATCTGTCAGAGATCCAGGAAGCGATTACTTTGGCGTGGCTGCTTGCCCTGCGGGAAGGTCCCATTATAACCTAAGGGGACTGGGTGGTGCATATTGAAACACTACACCTGCCGATGATTGTCTACAAGGTGGACCAAGTGTTGTCCCCTACTTCCTGCAACTCAAGGCATACACTCCGCAGCTGCCGGGAGCAAGATGGTCTGTGCTCCATAGGATGGAACAGCTCAACACCCTGAGCCTGCCTGACTCCCTCATCCAAGTACAGGCCGTACAAGACAAAGATGAGACACAGTATGCCTACGAATCAACTACCCCGCTCTCCCACCTCCCCTTTGACCCGGCAGAGTGGAAATGGAAAATGCAACCATAAAAGTACTCAGTCAAAAAAGGGTACAGAACAATGCGAAAGCACAGTCCAGTCATGGACACCATCCTCAAGAGGTGGGACAGAGATTCTACTCTTAAGCGCGCTGACCTGAGCACCCTTAGGTGGCCGGCCTATTCCCACATTAGACCGACCAACCATAGAGCGCTTCAGTGGCAGATCATCCGCAGGTGCCTGCCCACCCTTGATTGGTTAACAGAAAGAACTGACCTGGAGCAGAAAGGGATGATGTCGCCGCTGTGCACATACTGCGAACTCATCCCCCCCCAAAAACGAGCCACCCTCGAGCACTGTCTACTGGACTGCCCCATGGTGGCTCGCCTCTAGAGGTGGTGGGATGCAGCCTGGCACTCCTTCACCGGTCAACATTTCCCATGGGACGTGAGGACTATCCTCTTTGCGATCCTCCCCCCCGAAGGAGCTGACTGGACACAATTTAAGCTGAACCTGTTCCCGTGTTCTCGCTTGGCTCTGCTCACGGCAGAATGGCGAATGAGGTGCTCCCACGAGAGGAGACAGCACACATTCAGCTTTATACAAGCAAGAGCAACAATGGCAGACACAATATTATGTCAGACACAATCAGCCTGGAAGGATTTACAAACTAGGCTCCGAATAGAGGCAGAAGAGCCCAAGAGGCGACAGCTGATGGACAACTTCCGAGCAAAATGGGTGGACCCGAATTGCAGATTGTGCAGATTTGTGCCGGACCCGCCGGGATGGCGGTCCGTTAGGATGGAGACGAAGGAGGAGGTAGAGATGGAGCTGGAAGGGACAGCGCAGCTCCGACGCAGACTCCACACGCAAGTACTCCAAGATCTGCGAAAGTGAAGAATACCGAAAAACAGACTGCAGCTGGGGTATACCCCCAGCGGACTGACTGGACTGGGCTGGACTGGCCTGGTACCGACCGTGGTACCGGGCGGGACTGGACTGGACTGAAACAATATACGGCCTGTGGGGTCAGGCCACGGCCTGGTCCCAC